TATATGTCGTTTTAATGATAATGTAAAATATTTTATTTTTCTAGAGGTATACACCACAAAGGCAGAGCATAAAGGATGGCTGGGAGATTTGATAAACTTACTGTTGTAGGAGAACAATTTCAAGCATTGATATATATTAGAAAATTGTGCTGTCAGTCTTTTGTATGTTGGAGGACAAGCTTCCCCTTGAAAACTGGAACAAATGTGAACTGAAGAATGTGTACATTCATATTAAGAACTTTTCCTTGTAAAATTACCTCTGGGAAAAGTTTATTTCATATCAATTTATTGTGTTCATTATCTGGTTTAATTTTATATTTGTAATTGTTTTGAAATTGCATGGCAAAACACATTTTTGCTCACCTGAGTCAAAAGCTTAAGTGAGTTTTTTGATCCGATTTCTTTGTTATCTGTTGTTTTGTAAACTTGTTACAACTTAATTTTTGTTCAAATGATGCCCCTTTCCCCCTGGGAGCTTGAGACCATTTTTAAAGTTAAACTTTTCAAAATGGAACTGATATCTTCTTTTTTTCAATCCGAGATACTCAGGTGAGTAATGTGGCAGACGGGCCTCTTATTATATTAGATATGTACATTGATTCACAAGTATGTACTTTGTAGCGACATCAATTAGAAGCAATATCATTTTTAAACCACAGTTTGATAGCAGAAATTTTATTTTCAAGAAAATGTTGGAGGCATATGTTTATATATATTATATTAATTTCATGTTTGTGAATTTCAAAACCGATTTTAGCTACAATTTACATTGGAAAAAAATGCAGTTGTCCATCTTGTGTCTCTATTGTGTGTCATGAAAGAAAAATCTTACAGCTTTTTGTGATATGCAACAAATATTTCACCGTGATCATGTGTTTTTGCAACAGTTGTGAAGTATATATGCTCAAGAATATAATTATTAGTTTTCTCCTAACTGTCTCAAAACTGTGTTAGTACTTTGATTACTGTAGCATTTATTTGTAAATCAGGGTTCTGTGTAAAACCTCTGATTAAGATTACACAAATTTTCATTCCTAATGCTCGTTACACTTGTGAGAAAATTATGAACAAAATTGTGACAGCGACTTTCTCTTTCTAAAAAGAAAATCATTTTCTTGTATTTTACTGTGTATTGTGCTTTTACACATTCAAACTGGAAGACTGCAATGTTAAAAAAATCTTATATGATAAGTATAACAATAGTAATTGTCAAATTGATTATGAAAAAAATTTTTTTTAAGGGATATTACTTTTGCTGTATCCACATTAAGGACATTCAGATACTGTTGTACCATGATAGTTATGAAAGAGCGTTTCATTTCATTTGTTAAAATAGGGTAGTAATACACAATAAATGTATAATTATAATGTAAAAAGAAATGCTTTTCTTATTATTTCACATAACATTATTTGTTTATGGAATTTAATGATACAGTGCATCATCTCATGGAATTGACATCAGAAATCAAATGGAAGTCTAAATTTCTGCTATTTTTAAATGGCAATTTCATTTCTTTATCAGTAAAGCAGTGTTCAATTTATAAGCTTGAACAACCATCAACTCGTATCAGTACTTTGATTTTTTAGTATAAACTTTATCATATATATTTTTTGGACGGTATTTGAGATCTAATCAATTTCTCATGATGTGTTGTCATTTTGTTGGCGATGGAGAAACTGTTCATTTAGAATCTGAATTTTAATTTTCCACATACATGTACACAGTAAGCCTACCTTATATCTAAGATGCATCTTCTTATCATAAGGATGTTTGTATTAAGACCAGTTAGATCCCTGCTATTATTATTATGAAACTTTTAAAAGATTTTTATTCAACTTATAAGCGAACCCTTGATTTATTTCCACCCAACTTTCTTCTTTGGGAAGAAGATGACAAAGTTGAGTCTTTTCTTTCACCGTGACATAATTGAACAAATATTAGTCTACATTAAGATTGAACACCTTCACACTTAAGTTTCTTTTTTCACATCTAGTGAGTTTTCAGAGGAAAATAAACGTATGTTGAGCTTTTTTCACTGTTACTGACAATTTTTTTTCGAAGAAAGGAGTTTGTTCCTTCATCAATAAAATAAATTAGTCAATAAACCTACGGTAAATATTCTGAAAAGAAATAAAAATTGTAAAAACTGAAATGTTAGGTGGTAATTGAAGACTGTTAAGGAAAGATTTCTTTGAATCAAAACAGAATGCATGGATAAGATATTGCAAAGTCTTTTCAGTATGAGTAAAATACGATAGGAACAATATGAGTAAAATCAAAAACAAACACTACATTTGTACCCTTTTTAAATCTAATTGTTTAACTTCTTCTTTTAGATGATGTTTTTTTATGATCTTATGAAGTTTCTAAAATGATCTTATTCTCAGATGTATCCAATTATCCATGTTATAGTTTATTTTCTTTTGAAACCCGATCATAGTCAAAAGGCTAGTTTGAAAAGAAATTATCTTACAAATCCGAAGAAACTTGTGAAACTTGTCATTTTAATAATGACCCTTTCTGCTTTTCGGATGAAAAGAAATTAAGATAAAATAATAATAATTTTACATGCTAAGCTTCTGCAAATCAAACTGGTATATAATGATTTTGAAATGTAAAAATCTCTCTCTTTATGTCCCCATGGAACTGTGCAAAATATGGCGAAGAAAAACATTTAATTTTTATACTTCTCAGGAACTAAACAAAAGCTACTTCTGCTTGAAACAGTGGTATTGTTTTCTCTTTTTTGTATCATGATATTCTTAGATTATTCGTCAATAGTAAAAAAAAAATAACAAAATTTAAACTATGCCTTATACATGTACACATCAGAAAATAAGGAATCGATTTTATAATTACACGTAACTTAAGAATTTACATTTGAAGCGAAAAAAAATACTTAAATAAAACTTAATATATATCTACCTTTTTTCATTGAAGACTCTGGAAATTCTGCATCTTTATTTTGTGAGTGGTATGACTCACTTTCTTCTTTTCCTGCAAAAAATATTCCAACATAAATGAATACCTAAAACATTTGGCTCTAATGATAATTAATATCAATCGATAATTTAGTATACAACACTGTAGTTATTTTTTATATATCTTAATGAAAAAGGTGGAGGTAACTAACAGTGATCGTTCTCAAAATATCTATAAACAATAAAAACCTGTGAAGAGTTCATTAAACACGAATCCTTGGAATTTCCAGGGGTGGGATCAGGTTCTATAGAGGAGTAAGCATCCCCTATTTACCACACACCCACCAGTCGAGAGCTCTTTGTATTGGTTCGGTGGAAGGAACATTTCGTATTCATATTCAGTGTAAAAACAAAGGCTTAACACTTGTTAGACAATATCTATGTTGTTTTTGGAGACCAGGAATTCTAAAAATCCATTGGAATTCCAATGGGTACCCATTGCACCCCGTAATTAGCAGACCTATTTTTGTATTCATATGAAGCAGACTTTGTGCAAAATCTTATGCGTGAAAAGAAGAAAAACCTTTGCTGGGGCCTTCAATTCAATATTTAGATATATATATCGACAACATTTTAAAATTAACAATGGTAATTTTCATTCTGATACCGATACGATATATCTATCCTGGCGAGATTAAGGTAAAAGATACTACAGAGTCTGATACATCTGTTTCAATTTGGATATTTACTTGAAAAAGACGTTAATGTTAATTTAATAACCAAGTTGAAAAAACGTGATGACTTTAACTTTTCTTTCATCGACTTCCCTTTCTTATGCAGCAATAAAACTTCATCACCTGTATGCGGAGTTTGTGTATCTCAGTTGATTCGATACGCAAGATTATGCCCTAAGTATGAACAATTTCCAAAATAAACTTGACAAACAAGTTGATGAAACAAGAATAACAGCAGTCTCGTTCTATGGTGGATACAATGACCTTTTCAGGAAATACAATTTATCACTGAGTTAAATGCTGACTGACGTTTTTCATATTCCGGAGTACAGTTAAGGTGAGCGATGGAAATATCGACAATATTTTGTTATTAAAAACGTATTTATAATCGGGACGGAGATTATTTTTAGTACATTATTAATATCGGATAATTGTAATTATGGTTAAAAACAATATATTAAAGACAATAAGATTTTATATTTAGACTTGTCACTTGACGCGACAGTCACGTGATTTTAGTACTTGCAGTAATGATGTTACTTTTAAATTTCACTTGTGCAAGGGCATAACCAAGTTAAAATTCCAAGCTTTGTTTATGAATATTTTCAACACGAATTACAGTTTATGAAAATTGCTGCGATCTTATTTAAGTTCTGCAATTTCATTGTTAAAATTATATTTGTATGTGTTTTTTGCTGGTCAACGGCATAAAAAATTGATAAAATTAAATTATTTTTAAGATTTCATCAAGATCACATTAATTGTCAAATACTTTAATACTTCTAGAGTTGAATTGTAAAAGCTTAATATGATTCATTGAGTGTATACCCTTGCACTAGATCGATTTATTTAGACCCCCACATTACCCTCCGATGTCCTTGCATACAAATATACGGCACAGAATATTTATCAATAAAATCGCGAAGAAGACATTGAATCCAAGTTAATGGCTTAAAGAATATCTGTAAATAATATTTTATCTAATTATAAAATACATTATTTGTTGAGAAAATATTACTCGATCTGCCTCTCACTGCATTGTGCATTATGTATTGTGCAATCATAGATACAAACTGAAATCAAAAGTCAGTTTTATGTTGATATCTACTGTTAATTATAGACAATATGATTATGGTGCCATTGAAGAAACAGGTATCACAATAATTTGAGAAACTGTATTTTGCTTATTCTTTCAAGATTATTTATTATGAAATGTTCATTGTGGGCCATGCGCACTGTAAGCAACTTTTAAGACTAGGAATTCAAATTTGAAATTATAAAAATCCCATTGAAGAATAATGCCTTGTACTAATTGAGTATCAATATAATGTATGTAATTTCAATCTGTATAATACGTCAAAAGATGTTCTGAATATTCCAAATTCTTGTCGTCAACACCTTTTTTTCTTTTCGAATCTTTTTTTCTTTCTGCAAATACAAAACAATTCTGATGGATAAAAACCAGATTATTTAAGTTAAGTATTATACGGTTTATATAGCCGATTCTAAAAAAAATGTGAAAAGAACAAAGACCATCACACCTTATAATGCATCTGTCTTTAAATTTGCATAACCCCAATATTTATAATGGAAAATATTGAATATAATCAAAACTATGAAGTAAAAGATCAACAATTATACCATATTTTAAATTAATTTTTCATTTATTTTTTAGTACTCACCTTTTATCTTAATTCTCCGAATCATATAAATTACCAAAGCAATCAAAATGAATATCAACACTATCGAAACCACAGCAACTATCTTCCACGTCAACTCTGTATTATTGGAAGTAAACTCTGCAATCCCTCTACAATAAAAATAATTTTACTATTTGGTTCATAATGAAACTGATATCCCCTAAACTTCGATGAGTTCCCCAAGCTTTGTCTGATCCCACTTGGTTAGTCTTAGGATATGTATCAATATTTTTATAGGATTCATGAAATTAATCATAAGTAAGTGCATTCTTCTTATTATCTATCTACTAGTATAATTAATTGTTATACCAGTCTTTCTAGGAGGAATTATCTGCACAATAATAATTGAATTTTTAGTAGCTTTTGCATTAATACCAAAATGTAGTATTTTAAATCACTTACCTCTGGTAATCTGATGGAGGAATGCATTGTGGGCATTTTTTGTCTCTTTGAAATTTGCAATATCAAAACATGACTGAACTGTAAAACATTAAAAGATATAAATAATTGCTGAAAGGAAATGTTACCTAAGGTTCATAAACCCTCTGCTAACTCATATGAAATTTTTTCTTTAACTTTTATGATTTTTCAAAGGAAATGTATAAACTGAAAAAAAGACAAACAAATATTGCATGGCCTGCGGGGCAAAATTTAACAAAAAAGGCACTTAACCTTGACAAATTTATAAAGGAATAATAGACATTTGTGTCAATAAGAGTTATCTCTCTTATCAGAGTATCAATGTACCTTAATAGATATACTAATTGCTGCTTAATATGATCATAATTTGATAAATGTTTGAAATAATATTTGCATTTGTAAGCATCCGTAGACTTGTAAGTAAAAGGACAGCAATCTGAACAAATGCAGTTATAGTATGGACTTTCCTGTATCAAGCTTCCTCGCATATTGAACTCCACACATCTATGTCTTATTAATAGAAGTTCATCATTATCCGTAACAAAATAGCAGATATAATGTAATATTAAAAAAAACATAATTCCGTCATATGTTATAAAGCAACAATAAAAATTTTAAGTTTATTATAATTTTCAAAATTTAGTTCAATCAATTTATAATCGCCATGATATCTTCCATCTTGAATATTTTCTTCTATAGTATCAACTTGTTCTACTTATAATACTTATGACGCAAAATGATATCAATCTGATGAAATTATGTTTTAAGCGTAAAAAGTACATCAGAAACAATTCATTACATCTGGAAAAAAATTAATAAATGCTAAAGAGGTTGAATTTTATATCTTAGTTACTAAAGATACCATTAAAAAAAAAAACAATTACACGTTTCTCAATATGTGACTTCTTTTATATTTTTTTATTGCGGTAATGAGACTTTATGTGCACAAAAAACTTAATTTTTACTTTTTGATGCACTAGGTGCTGCAAAGTTAATGTCGGAATCTTTGTCACTAAGTCATAAATAATTTTAACAATTACACGAAAAGAACGTTTATAAACATTTGTTGTTCATATTTGCAGTTGAAGAACTTGCCTGTAGCAAAATGACATTATCATTGTATTATACAATATTTATTTCTTATGTAATGCTTTAGATTCCATTGTAAAGAAATATTTCTTCTGAAACAATTCACATACAGACAGAAGGACGGATGGACAGGCATTCCGATTACTATACACCCTTTTCAAGCGGGTTTATAATAATAAACTAACAATTACATGTAGTATGAAAAACGTCAGTCAGCATTTGACTTAATCATAAATTGAATTTGCTGACAAGGTTATTGTATTGACCATAGAACTTACGAAATGATGACTTAAAATGACACTGCTGATATTCTTGTCTCATCAACTTGTTTGTCAATAATTTACTTCGTTTTAGAAATTGTTCATACGTAGAGCATGCTCTTGCTTATCGAATCAACTGACATATATAAACTCCGTATGCAGGTGAAGAAGGTATATTGCTGCATAAGTAAGGGAGATTGACGATAGAAAATTTAAAGTCATCACGTTTTATCATAAGAGCTTAATTGTTAACACCATTAACGTCTTTTTCAAGTAAAACATCCAAGTTTGAAACAGATGTGTCAGACTCTGTGGTATCTTTTTTCTCAAGCTCATCAGGATATATCGTATCGACATAGGAATGGAAATTACTATTGTTAATTGACAATACCTCGTCGATATATCTAAATATTGAGTTGAAGTCCACTGCAAGTGTTTTCTTCTTTTCACGCATAAGATTTTCCACAAATTCTTCCATTGTTATTGAAAAAGCAGCTGTTAATGATATCGAAAAGCCTGGAATTTAATTTATCGTGGGGAATGGTTGTGTTTAAAGTTGAAAAGTCAGAATTTTTTTAGCTGTTGATTTTTGTAGAATATTGTGATTTCAAATTGTCCAAGAGTTTATTGGAATTTTTTAAGTATCCACATCTGATTTACACCTTCTTTTGAAAATAGTTTTGCACAGCACTCTTGAACTTTTTCTTTCACTACTGTTAATATCTTAGTGAGGAGTAAAGAAAGTGGCTTGATTGGAACCCGCAATGTATCTTTGTTTGTAAGGATCATATGCATCATATTTACAATTAACACTGCTTATTTGGATCCAAATCAAAACAAAATCAGAGATTATTTAAAGTAAAATCTCGACTTATAAACTGGGTGTAGAATACGGAAATACATATGATTAAACTGTATCTCCAGATTTTTGGAGTTGCATATTCATTTCCTTTATTCAAATTAGCTCCAGGAAGAAATTGGCAATTCAAAAAATATTGTAAAAAGCAAAACTCCATACCAAAAACCAAATAAACCCCTTTCAAATGCAATTTCCTCTTAGAATTATCATTTTTAAAAACAGAATGTACATTCTAAATAGTCGAGAAAAAAGTGTTTTGCGGTGGAAAGAACGGACAAAATTGGTTTTAATCAAGAAAATAAACCAGTTTTGGACTTTCGGGCAAAATGAAAACACTTATATTAGATCTAATAGGTCTTCTTTTGTTAAAGTCTTTGCTAACTTTTGCTGATACAAATTGTGACGGGTAATAATATAATTTATAATTTTTTACAAATTGAATTCTTGTTGAAGATATTCAAATAACCGTTTCTATCTTTTATTTCAGAATAGAAGGTTTTAGATGTTGTTCTGGATATAAATTGGACGAAGAGTATGGCAAATGCGTCTGTGAGTTTTTTTTTCTTTTGGGCTAATTTTATTCTTTCTTAGATCCAAACTCTCCACTTTTCTTAAGGGTACTTAACACAAACAAAAAATTGATGCATGGATTGATATATGTATATTTTTAACTGAATTTGATTTGAAATGACATAAATGATAAATCCCTAATATATAGAGAAATCATAGATTTTCTTTGGTGCTTAGATTTGAGACTTCGTTTTGCTCCCTATCTAATTCCATACAAAATTTTGCACAAATTTTGAATTTTATGACAAAATCTTATAAAATTTTCCCATTTGACTTGGTAAACATCATTCAGGTTATCAATTCAAAAGTAAATCTGTGAGAATTAACGCTGATTTCTGAAAAAAAAGTTTTTATTATTTATCCTTACGTAAAAAAAGTTTGCTTAGAGTAATTATAGAGAGAATATTATTAAAGCACTGAAAAACAATTCCCTAGTGGACTTTTACGAGAAGCACTGACTTCTACAGATGACATTTACTTGGACATTTAAACTTGTATCATGTACGGAAGTAGAGAATTGATAATGCATAAGAAAACCTTTTTTTGTGGTCATAGGTATGGTTTTAGGGGCACTTACATGTGAAGGCCTGGAGTTGAGGGTAGGGTCGTTGTCGTTTTCTTCAAGAACAACTTATATGTGCATTGAAATAACCCGTTATTTCCGTTTAATTAAATGTTGGGCTAAATATTTATATCGTAAAGGATCTACCGTACATAACCCTAGTGTAAAAGTAAGCGTCAACTGTAAAAGTCAGCGCTCCTCGTAAAAGTCCAGTACTAGTAGTTGTAAGTCTATTGCAGCATTAAAGAATAAACCATACGCAATTAATGTAATATTGCTTATATTATTAAAAGATTAAACCTCAATTGAAATATTTCCCTTCATAACTTATATTCATCTAATATGCAGTTCAGAGATTTATATGCAAACTTGATTTCCTCTAAAGAATGCCTAGCCGGATATTTTGGATTTCATTGTTCTCAAGTTTGTCGTTATCCAACTTATGGAGAGAAATGCAGTCGGATGTGCACATGTGATAGATATACATGTGATTTTTCACGTGGATGTGTCTCTACTTTGGGTATATATAGTCTTTCTCTTTGACATTTTGTATTCCTTTATCACGATATCATCAATGATTAATAAAGAAAAGAATATTGTATAAGTTCAGTATCTTTTATCACTACTCAGTACATCGTATAATTCATGTATTTTAAAGAACCATATGGCAATACAGTTATAGAAAACAAATTGCTTTCAACAACAGAAGCAACCCCAGAAAGATCAATAGGTATTTATTCGTAATTTATTTAAATTTAACTCCAAATATGCGATTGAACTATTATTTAAACTTTCTATATTTACGGATGGGAAAATCATTCTTAAAGTTAGGAACTTTGCAGTAAATCAAAATATAAATTTTTTAAATTGCACATACTTATAGTAATTAAAGTGAATCAAGAAGTTTCGTCTTTCAATTCTTGTTACATATTGTCCTCAATTAAAGAGAATTTTGAAAATTCAAAATTCTGTAAATAAATTCATGTCATTATTTCTAACCTCAAATGACTCCGATTTTTAGAAAACAGTCCTAGCAGTACCCAGTTTACTTTATCAGCTAGTAGATTAACATCAACCACAGGCATCGGATCAAAAAGTGACACACTTACTTCGTTATTCCTTGATTCAATCAAAGCAAGCGCCACACACCAAATTTATTCCACTTTGCCAGTCAGTAAGAAATGTTGTGACGAAAAACAAAGACAGGTTTCACTAACATTTGTATTGCAGATAAGTACGGCTTCAATTGTTTTTCTTTTTTTCTTTTTTCAAATTTTGCGGTCAGTTTGGAAGATTATTAAAAGTTTGCGAGCTCCTCGAATTACTCTACATCGACCAAGGAAGCCGTCAAGGGATACTGATCATTATCATTGTTTGGAGGAATTTGAGCAAACTTTCCCACCTTTAAATGAGGAAGAAAACACACTTTTTGATGGACCTGCAGATGTGAAAATCAAGGTAAACAAAGACAAGAAGTATTATTCAGTCACATTTCAGACAACAAATAACGAAGGAAGGGACATCTGCTTAAGCCCTAGAAAAAAGATTTATGAAAATACACATGAGGCAATCGACAAAAATGACAAATGTGCATGTGACATGATAAACGAAAACGCAGCAGTGGCTATCATGACTCCAAAAGGTATAATCCACAATGAGCAAGGGCCCTTTAGTCCTCAGTCAGGTTATATTGAAATGAAAGCTAAAATTCAAAGAAAAGAATTTGTGGATCCATACTTACTTGTAGTAAACGGTGATTAGCATATGGGATCAACGACAATAACGTCATTGTTAAGATATCAGTTGATATTTTTTTTTCAAAATATCTCATTGTAGCCATTTTAAACCATGTATAATCATAGTTTTTGCATGCGGAGAAAGTTTTGAACAAATATGTTTTGAACTTTTCCTTATGAATCGTACGATTTTTTCAATTCTTAAGATCTAAGTCTTAATAAAAGGCTTATATGTACGTATGTGTCTCATTTATCAAACACTTTCCAAATAATTTAAGCAAATATTTTTAGTTGTCCAATTGACATAGTGGCTAGAGTGTCTGCTTTAGAGCCGAGGAGAAAGGAGTTGATCCTTACGTCGCGGATTTGAATCCCACTGTGGGGCGTGGAGACCGGTCCTTCGGATTAGACCGTATTAACCGAAGTTCTGTGTCGCAGTAGGTGCTGGCACGAAAAACATTCCTATAGCCCTGAGTGCCGAGTATAGGACAAAATTTGCAGCTCTCCATCGGCAAGTGGTGGCGTCTTCATATGAGTGAAAAATTCTCTAGAGGGATGTTAAACAATAAACAATCAATCAATCAATCTATTTAATATGAGAAGGCGATAGCGGTTAACTGCTCAATGGCCCTGGCTATGTGCCGAGCATAGATCAAAATTTGCAGCTCTCCACCGGCAAGTGGTGACGTCTCTATATGATTGAAACATTCTCTAGAGGGACGTTAAGCAAAAAACAACCAAAATTTTTGATTCATTATTACATGTATATGGGAAGAAAACAGCATCAATTTAGATGGCATTGTCATAGTAAGTAAATGATTTCGTCTATAATTGTTATGAATACCTATGGTGTCTTCGATTATTATATTGTTCGTTCTTTTTAAAATTCTTTCGTAAAGACACTTTTAATCCTTGTGATAAATATCAATTCTAAAGATAATATCTAAGGACTTCTGTGGCTTTCCCCATCCCGGCATGCTATCTTTATTTAAAAAAAAAACTAATGGTTATTATATAAAGAAAAAAATGCACAAGCAGAATTCATAACACAGCAGACCTAAAACTAGAAATTCGGAGGATATGGAGCACCAATTCCATTCTTTATGTACGGAACATATCACTTTCACAATGTAACTATCAATAACCTTATTTTTAGTCAGAATTTCGTAAATTCTGTGGTCTTTATAATGGCCTTATTAGTAAATATAAGTTGTAATATTATATTTTCATGTAAATTAGTTGAATCTGATTGGTCGAGAAACATTTGTTGAAAAACACTTTTACACATGTACCTGCTAATAATGAAGCCATACCCTCCAGCGTAGCAGCAGTCAACATTGCTTGACGACGGTGATATTCCAAAAAATAGCGACTGCGCAGAATTTATGCGCGCGGTTCACTGTTATATGTATGTGTATAAAACACTCAGTATAATATAATAAATATTGCATGTAGTTGAGTGTAACATTGAAAATTTTCACCCCAAGAAAACCATATATTGTCAACCGAGGCACAGCCGAGGTTGACAATGGTTTTCTTGGGGTGAAAATTTTCAATGTTACACTCAACTACATGCAATATTTATTATGCAATATTTATAAAAAGAGCCCTTTTTTGACTGACCCGTTTCATGTCGGTCATTAGGTCCTTGCTTTTAATACTCAATTAAAATTTTGAGCATGGAATATTCAGTTTACTTGGTATATTCAATGGGCTCACTGTGCGTGTGATCGTTCAAAAGGGGATGGCACCTGATCCCACGTCTGGAATTTACGGGATTCTGTGTTTATGCCCTGTTATTGATAAACATACTTATATATATTTTTGGAACAAGGAAGTTAGTGAACTGAAGTATTACAAGTACTGGGCACTGGAAACTTCAGAAACAAAAATCTGCTTTCATTTCCGTTCATAAAATTCGATGAAAAATATTCCAAAAAACTAATATCAACCTTCAGAAAATATCTATATATTTAGAAGGTTAAATTTATCAATAGGAATGTGCTAATATGGCAGTTGTTGCTCTGGATGTATTCAGTTTTATCATTTTCGTAGTACATTTTACGTGCCTTTCAATAATATTTAAAAGAAGCAATTAGAAAATTACATGAACATTGTAATGGCCGTATCAGCAAAAACAACCCATGCTCCGTCGTATGTCATCATTAAGTCAAAATTAATGCTGACTGACGTTGTTCATACTAATTATTAGGCCATTTTCACACTGAACTGTCTACGTATTTTCCGGCTTTTTTTTCGATCATGACAAGGAGCACATAGTGTTGTGATCGATCGACAGGGGATGCTAACTCCTCCATGGCACCTGATTCCACCTCTAAATTTTGAGGTCCGTGTTTGATCTGCTCCAAATTTTGTATAGTTTCATTGGACTTTGGAGATAGAATATTGCTTGTTGATATCCTATATTTCATTTGTCGGCAATGTATGAGCACCATTTTTTCAAAACTGATTTGACTGGGAATGACTGTTTGCCAAGAATTGATTTAATATGAAGATAACGAACAGTTATCAAGCTCAAAAGTCTGCTGGAACAAGACAAATTGGGCAAGGTGTAAACACAGAGCGGAAGTTTTCGTGAGTTTTCATTATACATCGAAATGCATTGGACATATATTAAGAATTCCAGCTAAGAGGGTCGTTTTGCATTACGACACGATCTTTTTTGACAAATGCACCCTGTAAAAACAATTCAGGCCCCCGTTTCTTGGTTTGTCAACTCATTTTATCACCATTAGCACGGAAATAGTCTGTTGAACAAGCAACCATTCAGGGATAAGAAGACACTTCCAGTCATAAAGCTTGAATGCATTTAGGAGGCATGTACCATACTATTTACGATAGTGCAGCTGTCATCATAGGTTGTGACGAAATGCAAAACTGCACACTTAAATGGAATTGATAGTAATGAAGACTACAGTGTACACATAAAAGGCTGTTCAGTTAATTCCATCAAATGTGTCATCAGCAAAAAATATTCCCTATGAATATATTGCTTTTTGAAAACCTATAACATACTTCATATAACAAATTAAAGTAAACATACGAATGTCATTAAAAATTCATAGACAAGTCCCTTTTTCTCACATTAAAATATCAGATGAATGATTAAATCTCCTATTAAGAGATTGGGGCGCTACATGAAAACCATATATTTGTATGTATTCAGAAGTGAAAAAAGAGTTAGATATACTACATGATCAACACGTGCTTACCCTAGCTTACAAAGCGATAACATCACTGATTTTGTTTGTAAAGCACATTATTTTAATTGTATTTTAGAGAAAATCTGTGATTTGATTCTGCTAGTGATAGTTCAACTTGTATCAATACCTCCCTTTCTATGGTGAAAATTCTTGAAGATCATTTGTCAGTTTTAATTATTTTTTATACTTCCAACAACAAACAGTATGAATATGAATTACCATATATGTACTGGATTCCTAATCTTAATTTTAAAAACCTTACAAAGATACATGGGGGGATCAGTATATGTTTTACAAAGACCCTTTCTCTACACCTCATTGAATTATTAACAGCAATGACGGAGAAACCTCAGGTGAACTGTTCAAAAATATATTCGAGAAATGGTGAAAATAAGACGTGGATATCGGTCTTGTATTGAGGGCTCTCCCCTCTAAAATCTTACCCCCGGAAACTGGCTTTAAATCCCTCAGGGGAAAATGACTCAAAAGTAGGAAAATGACCTTAGAGTAGAATATTAGATTAATTTTTGTGTGTGGGTATGTCGGGGGAGGGGGTACCATGCTTTATAGTTTTAGAGTGCAACTTGCCCCAGAGTCAATTATCCCAATGAAATATATGGTTGTACATATGTAGGAAAGGGAGGGGACTGCACATTGTGTCTCTAATTCAAATGGCTACTAGTTCCATTGAAATAAACGATAAATGATACAAACAAATTTCTCAATTAATAGTCCACTAATTCTTTGGCATTAAAATCTTATATTAATTTTTAATCTGTTCAAACTCAGTTTTGTAAAATGGTTCAATGAATTCCTTTGAATCAAAATTTTAACTCAACCAAATGACCACTGACAATATAAGTAAATTTACGAGTTCCATTTTTTTAATGAAAAAGTAGCTGTCAATAATTAATAGTCAGCCTAATAATCGCGATACGAGTGCTGGGCACAAGGAAAATGCGCGGGAGGATTTAAACGCACAAGAAAGTACAGAACGTAGGATTAGCAATGGAAACCAGTATTTTACATGCACACATAAATAAATGTATTATATGATAATGAGAAAAGAAGAAAAATGAGAAAAGGTTGGAATTCATTTGTTAAAATTGAATAACAAGAGGCCCAGGGGCCACCTCATTCACCTAAGCCACTGGCTAGGTTAAATCAAAAATCAGTTCAGTATTGAAAAGTTTAAATATAAAATTGGGTTCAGGGTAAGGGGGGATTTGAACAAACTTAAATCTACACTTCCTAAGGATGCTTTTGAAATAATATGACACATAATGGGTTTGTTGTTTATAAGATAAAATTTATTATGGGTAAAGTCTTTTTATTCATTTGTTATGATCCACTCAAATGGCTCCTCTATTCTCCCAGTTGTCACAATGTGAACAAATTCAAATTTATATTACCTTTTTGGTGCTTTTACGATGATGATCAGTCACGGCTTTGTTGTTTTTGTGAAGAATTTTAACTATTTACTATGTATTCTGACGTAAAACCTATTGAGGCCCCACTCTTTTCCCCGAGGATTATGATTTCATGAAACTATTGAATTTTCAGTACCTTTTTTGATGCTTCCATATTATAATGACCAATCATGCCATTGCTGCCATTGAGAAGAAAAAAAAATTTCTATGCAATTTCTAATTGATCTCCCATTATGGCACAACCTTTGCCCCGGAGGTCATGATTTGATTAAACCTGAATCTACGATATCAGATTACGCTTCAATACATCTTTGACCAACCATGGAATTGCTCTTCTTGAGAAGAAGGTTTTAAAAGAGTTTTCCTATGTA